GCATACGGACGAGGCAATCCTACGGGAAGCAGCTGACAGTGAGATCGAATGGAAACTGGTAAAGGCTCAGGGATAAAAGAATTGGACACTGAGAGGAGAAAGCTTTCAGGGAACTGGCCTAGGGGAATAACTGAAGTTGATGAAAGGCATCTCTCCTCTCAAGGCAGAGTAGAGAATAAAGAATGTCTCTGAAACCTGCTGTTGTGGCCAAGCTGGGAAACAGATAGATCTGTCTGGACACAGCTTCCCAAGCTGGATCCCGGTCTTAGAGCACTGCGTGGGTCAGGTACCTTTTCAAGCAGCCGCCCAGGGGACCAGGACAAACCAGTCTAATGGAGCACTACTGCTCGTTTTTTGTTTAAGATGCTCTTAAGGCAAGACGTTAGCTAACAAGGATGGTCTCTTATATCAGCTTCACTGTATCACTTATACATGGGGGATTAGGTATATTTACAGTATTAGGGAACTACCGGATCTAAGAACAGATTAGATACTGCACACTACATATGGCATTAAATATACACATGGTATTAGCTATGCAGAGGCTGTTGGATATAGATCAGGTCTACTAGACAGAAGCTATTAGGAGTGGACGGTACTGTAGTAGGGTACTGGCTCTAGCACCAGTAATGAATAGCTGAATAGGTTGACTGTTAGGCACAGATAATACTAAGGGGTATATATGAGCAGGTATTACCTAAAAGGTAAGGTTGAGGCAGCAGTCTAGCTCTGGCTATGGATCAGGCAGATATCAGACAAAGTACTCTACATATTATTTGTGCTTTCAGTTTCCCCCACTAAGAGAGATACTGGGTGATCACGGGCTGATAAACCTGCCAGCAAGTGTTATAATATGAACCCCTGTGAGACTATCAACATAACAGGAAAACGGGAGGTTTCCTACCCCACAGGCCTCCTGCCCTTGATGGCAGGAACTGCTGTTTGGAAGATGAAAAGCCAGGGACTGATTAGTCCAAAGCTGGAAAGCATTTTCTCTCTTAAAAAAAAAAAGAAAGGCCATTAATAATCAGCAGAGCATTTAATGAGAGGCTAGAAGGAGTTCTCAGCATTAAGAGGGGATTAATGGTAATCTTCACTGCTTGTGCCTCCTTGCTGCATGGAAAAGACTATGACCTGCTCCTGCTGACAAGGCCCAGGGCCCGGAGGAGTGAGGTCTGGCTGGTACACGCAGCATCCAGACCTTGCTGGGCTGGGGTCCACCCTGTGAAAGCTCCCTGTTGGAAGGAAACAAGAGAGAAATCATGGCTTCTGTCAAAGCAGCAGCTCGCTGGTCATCGTTGGTGTGACTTCCACCTCACTGAACAAAAGGGACTGTGACTTCAATGGGCAGAGAGAAAGGAATGATTTTTCCTGTGCATGCACGTATCGAACCCAAGTGCCACCAGAGACGGTGCTGTTTTCCCAGCAGAATTTGCTCTGATGGGGTCACCGCCCTAGGGCTGGAATGAAGTTAAACTGCTGATTCACAAGCCCGGGAACACACAGGTTGATTATTGACTAAAAGTCTGAGGCACCACGGCTGGGGCATGGGGAAGAAGTGTGTGCGAACAGGGCCAGGTGCCGGCTGCACAGAACGTTCCCCAGATCCCCGCCTGCGCCTTGGAACGAGCTCCCTTTGGATGTACACCACTCCTTCTGTGATCCCTTTCGGGAACAGTTTGAGCTTTACTGGCACCAGCGTGTACCGCAAGCCAGATTCTGGAGCTGCACACTCAAGTGTTAAAGGGACCTTGCAGCTAGATTTGGGTGTTTGTGTGTTCATGGTGGAAATGCTCACCGACTTCTCAGCCCACTGGGGAACAGAAACCAGAGGCACAGGCCAGGGTGATCCTTGAAGTCGGGTGTGGGGGGGGGTCCTTTGTTTCCCCAAACGTCCACCTATAACCAACTGACCTGACCATGGGATTCATAGCTGGTATGGTGTGCATCAGTCAGCCTCTTTTAACGTAAAGGACAAATTTAGTCTGAGACAGAAACTGGATCCAATGTATCCAGCCACAATCTACTGGAACTGCAAAGAACTGGGATGGACCCTCGAGAGTTAAAAGGTTCATGGGATAAATCTGGATGATGAACAGATTGGAGGAAACCACAATCTGTTCACGGATCTTCCAGGAGCTGACAAAGAGGCCGCATTTACTGAACACATATATAGCTGCAAATTGTTCGCTCAGTTCTGTGAATGGGGAACTCGCTGCCCTTGCTTTCTATTTCTGTCAAAGGCTGGGGCTGATTCTCCTCTCCCACCCATGCTATGCTGGTCTAACACTACTGATTTGGAATGACTCCTGATTTGCAGGGGTGTGAGGAGAGAGCAGGCTTAGACCCATTGTGTTGGATTGGTGAGCATCTTCCCTTCATTCTGAATCTCCCTCTCTGGGTCTCTCCTGTGCAGACGGGCTTAGTGAAGTATCCTTGACCTTCTTCCTCACCTGATTTCTCTCCTGTGAGACTCCTGCTGTATTGGTTCCAGTCTCTGTGAATCAGACTGGTCTGCAACCTAAGCACGCTTCCCTACCACTGCTCAGCCCCAGTCTTGTCTCACCTACTCGGGTTGAAGGTGTTTGTGCTGCTTCTCTGTATCTGCTGTCTCTTTCCCAACTCCCCCTCACTTTATGGCAATAGCAAATGGAGACATTTTTGCCAAGAAGCTTTCCTCAAGGTCATGAATGCCCCTGCTAAACTACAGAGATGCAGATGCCAGCCTAGGTGCCACCCATGTATACCTCTCTCTCCATCTCTGGATGTGCCTGTACTGACACACACTGCTTTCTCTTACTAAAACAATAATTCACCTTACTCAATAGCCTTCCCAATCCCAGCCTCCATAAATCAGTCTGTGCTGTGGCAACTTCCCTCAACAACCTCCAGGAGAGCACAGCAGGCTGGGAACGGTACAGATGTACTTTAGGAAGCGCTGCATGCCCGGCTGTTGGGCTGCAGCTGGAGACTGCCTGGCCTCCCATCTCTCAGCTCTGCCATGCCCTCTGTATGGTCTCGCAAATTCAGGAGGCATGACTCACAGACGTCCTTGTATGAATCTCTGCTGACTGCCCCTGACTAAAATTAGACCCTACTCTGTCTTGCCTGTAGGCTTTTCAAGTGGGTTTGGTAATGACAGAAGGTACAGATGGGCAGATCAAAGTCCTCTGTCTGTACCCCAGCAAGTAGAGCAAGCATAGAGCTCCAACAACTGAGGCCGGAATAGGACCGGTGCTGGACAGGAGGAGGGAGTTTTGACCCCGTTGGTCCATCTTTTCTTGACCTCTCTGCTGGGGCAGCCAGGGAGGGTCTTAGTGACAATGCTGATGGGGATGTTTTGCATCCTCTAGGAAGGGGAGTGAGACCTCTGACTCATTTTACATATGCCACCAAAAAGATGGTAGAGACTGACTGGATCAGGTGAAAGGCTCTATCTTTATAAAAGCTTTGAGTGATCAATCATTAGCCAATGCCCTGCTCCAGTCTTCTGCAATTGCAACCATCTGGGCCGGGGACTCTTTTGTTGCCCTTTATTCCTCCCTAAAGGACTGTGGGCTGAGTTCACTTGGGCCTGAATGCCTTGTCCAGCCCTCATTCCTCACAGCCTCATCCTCTTCATGCTTTTAAAGCATGATCACAGCCGTTGGCACTAGGCGCTCTGAAGGCTTGAAACAGTGTTGTTGGGATGGGGGGACAGGATCACTGCACAGCAAGGTTTCAAAAACACACTGGCCATGTGCTGGAAAGCTGCCAGTCCTGTTTTCTCCTTGAGGACATTCACTGGGAGTGAAGTCGCTTGCAGATTTTCCCATCAGAGCCTGGCTGTTTCCTGCTGTGCTCAAGGGCTGGAGCCGGCTGCAAAGCGATGATGCAGAAGGCTGAGGCTTGCTGTAGCACCAGGGTCTCTGAGGGGGCAGGAGGCTGTCGGCAGGATTGTTAATCTTGGTGCATTTACACCCCAGGAAGTGGGGGCTGCCTATTTCAGCTGCTGCAGTGCCTTACATTTTGGTTCCTGGGGTGGAATGCATATGAAAAGTGGATGCCTAGGCCCCTATATGATTCGGGAGGAAAGTTAGGAGCCTCAAAACAGGACTGGGAATTCACTGCCTGCAGCTAGTGAATAAGAAGCACCAGGGACTGGAGGTTTTCTGAGCTCTTGCCTCTCCCTGCACCTGAGAGTCCTCACCCAAGGGCTTCCATTCACTTGGGGTCTACAGCCCCTCTGGTACTTCCATACAGCCCCTTGTCCCCAGTGCAGTGGTGCTCTGATGCCCTCACAGCACACTGTAAGCGGGGAGGGATATTCAAGAAATCCTTTGCTTTGAACTTCTCTGAGCAACCAGCCTCTCCCCGGTCAGCCCAGCAGCCTCACAGCCATGTGCAATTAAAATAAAGGGGCTAATACATAATTAACAGATAATAAATAATTACTAAATCACTGTTTCTTCTTGGCCTGGTGGCATGGTCAGGCAGAGAGTTCGTGTTCAGTCACAAGGCAGGAATAAAAATAAGATCAACATAAAATAAACATGCCCCTGCTTACAGCACCTGCAGTTTTAAGGAGAGCACCAGCGTTTCCGAAGCTCCGCGGAAAGTTCTCATCCTGGGAGGTGTGGGGTACAGGGCAGGAGCCATGTGTGAGAAGGAGAGGATGGGATGGTGTGCTGGGACCTCAAGGTTTCACATGCAGTCTCAAAGGGTTAAAAATGTCACACGGGCAGGTTTAATACCAATCCTAATCATCTAGGTGGGGATGAGAAGCTAGAGACCTCCCCAGGGCTTGGGTGGAGCTCCACAGGCCTGCAGCCACACATATGAAAGCCAGATACAGACTCTTCCTTTCTGAGGGTCACCGGCTGAATGGGGTTAAACCCTACAGCAAGAGATTGTATCTGTCTCTGCAAGGCAAATGCCCACTCCCTCTCTAGCCCCTGCCCCATCCCCACCTGTAGCAATGCCTTTTTCTTGATAAAGCTTATGCTTTCTTGCCCTTGCAGATAGCCCCTCTGCTCCAGTCAACGTTACAGTCAAACATCTGAAGGCCAACTCAGCTGTTGTGACCTGGGATGTTCTGGAGGATGAAGTCGTCATTGGATTTGCAATCTCCCAGCAGGTATCCTCACCATTGCTGCCCCGTTTCACCTCTGCTGGGTCCCCCTCTTCTCTACCCCACCACTTCCCTGGGCTTAGGGGCTGGCAGAGACAAGGGCAACCTCTGGATTTAAGGCCACCCCCTTGCCTGCAGCTCTTGCAAGGCCCTTATGAAGCTGGTGCAGAATCACTCTCTTTCCTTGCCTTATCTCATCTCCTCTCCCTGGGAGTGCATCTTGGACAGGGTGGCTGTAGGGAGCAAGAAAAGGGTAATACCACCAGATGCCTGTGTGAGGTGGTTTAGCGGATCCCACACCTCCAGCACCCTTCTAACTGGCTTGTCCAGCAGGAAACCAGGAGAGCCGAACTCCCCCATCCCTGTAGGAGTGGGGCTGGGCACATCACCAGGATGGAGTCTCAGAAGCCAGCGCTGCCTGGGTTCATGTAGCTCATGCTACATTGGGGTCGTTAAGCTGTTCAGCTTCCAGGGACCGATCCAGCACTTGGCACTTACATTAAGTGCACTTACAAGTAAAGCTAAGTCTCCCTCAGGGAGGAAGCTCCCTCCCTGTGCGAGGCACCACAGGACACCCCTCCCCTTCTCCAACCTCGGGCCTCATCCCGCTGTTCACCAGCTCTCAGCTATGTCTTGTGGCAGGGAAACCAGCTTGAGGCATGAAAGGGAAAAACTGTGGGGCCTGGAGGTGCTCGGAGCTTTGTTGCTGCCTTCAGTGAGGGCAGGAGCAGGCTATTACCCTGCAGCACCATCACGGTTCCCAGGCACCTCTTCCCCAAGCAGCGGACCTCAGCAGTGGCTATGCCCAGTGTGTACGAGTGCCTCTAGGGATGGAGCAGTGAGGACCTGCATGCAAACCCCGTCTCTAAAAACCAGGCTGAGGGTCCTGCTATCTTACTCTTGTGGGGTTAAATTTGCCTGGTTGAGACGCCTGTCAGGACTAAGTTAAAGGTGGTGCCTTGGCCTCACGTTGGACTTGGTGCCAGGCTGAAATATCCCCTTCAGGTCATTCTGTTTTGCCCTGTCTCTCACTCTGGGGCCCTGCTTCCCTCGGTCACTCCCAGGGAGAATGGAAAGGGCGTAGGCAGCGTGGGGTCTGCCGTGCCCCAGACAGAGCCCTCCCCCTGAGCTCACGGGCTTTCCTGCCTTGGGCTTGCAGAAGAAGGACGTGCGCATGATGCGCTTCATCCAGGAGCTGAACACCACCACGCGCTCCTGTGCCCTCTGGGACCTGGAGGAAGACACCGAGTACATCGTGCACGTCCAGTCCATCAGCATCCAAGGCCAGAGCCCAGCTAGCGAGCCCGTGCTCTTCAAGACCCCCAGAGAAGCTGAGAAGCTGGCCTCAAAAAATAAAGGCAAGTGTAACCGAGGCCTTCTGTGGCCCCCTTGGCTGTCCAGGTGGGGTGAGGGGGAGCTAAGGAGAGGGGGGACCGATGCATTTCCAAACAAGAATAGCTGAACTAAAAGCATTTGGGACTTGATTTTCCTCTCACCACTGCAGTGGAGATGGTGGGGCTTCAAACCCTACCTATGGCAGTATCTGAGCTTGCTAATTTAAAGCTGGCACCTTACCTGCAGTGTAGACAGACCCCTAGTGAGCGCAAGAGAATCCAGCTCACACGAGCTACAGGTCACTTCAGAATAAGACTGTACTAATGTCTAGCGAGGGGCAGGCCCTCGTGTGATCCCATCTTTAGTATAGAACCCATTGCCCACAGCAAGCTGGCTGTCTCGGTGGAACAGTGCCAGAATCTTAGTCACTCGTGCTGCCAAACCTTGACTCTCCCTATTCCTCTTTTATCTGAGTTATAGCAGAAGAGGCACAGGAGACGGGGAGGATGTTTTCAGGGCTGGCATCCAGGAAGAGCATGCCAGTCGGCTTAGCAAGTGAAGGATGCCAGGGGAAATTCCTGGTCAGGCACTGCACTCAGTTTGAGTTAGAAGCCGTGGGACTGCCACCGTGGTATTGAGATGAGGCCCTGAGACTTACTCATTCTTCCTCTGCTTGGATTCAAAGTCAGCAGAGAAGAGATCCCATTTCCTGACATGTCAAGTGTCTGCCCAATCTTTAAGGCCAAGCAGAAAAGAGCCTTAATTTTTCCTTCTGGAAAAACATCCAGCCATTTCAGGTGGCATAAATGCAAGTCAAACTGATGCTTCACATCATCAAGGCACTCTAGCAAGCAGGGGAGTTAAAGGAGTCCACGTCTGAGAGGGTCCTTGATGACTTCTTCAGGGCCTGAACAGGCCTTTCAGCCAGGACTCCAAGCATGCAGTGAGTTCCTGGCTCATTCTGCTGCAGTGTTTTGGTGCCTATAACTACTGAACTGCTGCTCATCTGAAAGCATGGAGAGAAGCACTGCCTACTTCCCAGGAGGCCTGAATGATGCTCTTCTTTGTGCTTCGAGGTCAGGGAGGTGCACTATGCCCTATGAGGGACTAATCTTTCCTGCATCCCTCAGTTCTACTAGAAAAGACTATGGGAAGGGCATAAATCCATAGCTGGGGTGGTGGGAATGCCAGCGATGGCTGGAATACACACAGCTTAGACATTATGGTGATAGACACTGCAACAAATGCCAACCCAAGGAGAAGAATGGAGATGCTACATCTCACTGAAAGTTTGGATAACCTTTGAACTTCATGCACTCCTAGTGCAGGCTGGGGTCCAGAGATAAACAGGTGAACAACGGGGAATTTTCCTGCAGCCAGTTGGGTTTATTCTTCTAAGTCTACAAAGGGGCTTTCTGGTTTGCAGTCACTCAGCATTGCTCACCAGGGATCTGTGGGTTGGGAGAGGAAGGAGTGTGTGAAAAGAGTAGGCAGAGTCTGACTGACTTCATTGCATGGTTGGCTTTCATTGTCTTTCTCTCCCCCTGGGCAGACGAGGTGACAATGAAGGAGATGGGGAAGAAGGACCAGCTTCGAGCAGGGGAAATTCTCATCATTGTCGTGGTGTTGTTCATGTGGGCAGGTCTGTAACCCGTCTATAGCGAAGGCAGCTCATGTCCCCTGAGTTAGCTCGTTTGCTTTGTTTGCATGCATGGATATTTGCACAAGATGCTCAGAAAGAGAAATCTTGACTCTCCCATCTACAGCATGACACATTTTGCAATAAATGCATTTCATCTTCCTCTGGGCACGGGGCACTGTTAGAGGCACGATGCCGAATTAGTTGGATAACTGCTCTGATTTGGTACAGCAGGAGGTAGGATAACAGTTTTAACAAACAAATTGCCTAATCTGCTGTGGCAAATCCTATATTCTGAATCCTTCTAGGCAACATTGATGAAAACACCCTTACCCCTCTCTGGTTATTAAAACAACATGGCCTAATCAACTTGTATCAGTGTCACTATCTGGCTTATTGTAAGCCTGTGAGCCACATGCAAAGCTGTAATTTTTGTAAAGAGGTTCAGCCAATACACTACCAACAAACAGCGCAAATCAAGAGTGAGATATGGCCTTCAGCCTCACACCCCAGCATCCACTGTTGTATATTTACTAAAACCCACTTCAGGCTCCATTAAAATAATAGAACTGTTAGAAGAACAAGTGGTCTGAAGCAACAAAACATAAACCACCAAGACAGCCCTAAACCTGAATTGGGTATAAAAACCAAAGTTTTAAAGACCCAAACTTTCTACGTATGCAAGCTCAGAACTGATCAGCTTTGTACCGATTAGTATCAGCAAAGCCAGGGGGACGGTGATGAGCTGCGGGTAACCACTTTGAAAAGGTCAATGAATGGTACAGAGAGGAAAGCATCCAGGGAACTGTCCCAGTCTGAAGAATCTGTATATTTGTGAAAAATTCCCACTACCTTGCTCCTGTGATATTCCCCTGGACTTATGTGAACTAACTGTCAGGCCTTAGAATGGCTCTTTAGGTTGAATGGGCCAAGAGCTGGGGAGGGCAAGGGGAATTATGAGGCTATCAAAAGGAAGTGGGAAGCCAGTGGGAGCTGTGGGGTGCTCAGCACATTTGGAAATGGGATGGTGTGCTTAGGTGCCTAAAAGTGGTCTTCAGAGCCTACCTTGAAGACCCCATTTTGAAAATCTTGGCCCAGCTCTCCAGGCCTCACCCAGTCTGCGGCCTGACTGCGCCTATGTGAGCTGTGCTACATCAGGCTGGTTTAAAAAACCTATAGCTTAAAAGCAGGGCCAGCAACGCAGCAGGGGCTGAGGCGTAGGGCTGCAGGGTGGGGCAGAGTGTAGACTTATCAATCCTGGGGCCACCTTGCAATGGGAAGAGCTTAGAAGAAAGTGTATGGGAGCTCCACAGACTAATGGGGCGGCTAGCAAGTGGGTTACTTCATTCACCACCCCAGCATTATGATCCCCCAAACCAATGTTTGCAATATCATATGAGAAAAGAAAAGAAGAACACCCAAGGTGTTTAGGAAAGCAACAATTTCTGCAGTATAAGCTTGGGACTCTGTACACTCATACAGCTATGTGACCCCCTATAGAGCCATACCTATTTGCAAAAACCAGCCTGGCCCCTGTGTTTTAATCTAGCTCCTGCGTGAGAGAGAAACCCCCTTCCTGGATATAGTGCTTTCACAGTGTTCTCTGCAGCCAGCACTTTGGCTCACACAGGTTGGACCCTTAACGAGACAGGGGGAAATAAAGTCTGCGCTCACTGCTCTCCGGATAGTCCCAGCTTTCTCCTGGCCTCCATTCGGCAGCTGCTGCTGCTGCATCAAACATTCACGAAGCAGCGCGGTGCACTGCTCGGCAACCCCCCATCACAGTGGCCTGGGGGAGGATATTTCAGGTGAAACAAAGGAACTGGCACACAAGGAAATTAATGATACAGTAAATTGTACAACCCGTAAAATGCAGCCTTTCCTTGTCGGCATTAACGGTCTTTGTGCCAGATGGAAGGGATCACTATGTACACTGTGCGTGCACAGATCCGTGCAGAAAAACAACTACTGCTGGGACAGAAAGCCACCACATTCGGGGCGTGAGGTTAAAGACAAGCGTCCCCACGTGCCCTCCGAGAACGTGTGGGAGGCATCGCAGAAGATGATCGCCCTGTAGAGAGCAGTCACTCAGACCTCTGCCCCTGAATTATGAACTGGTGATTTTCCCTCTGGACTACGGGTCTGTGCCTGAGCTCTGAGGCAGGGACTGCCAGGGCAGAAGGCAGCTCCAAGGCGACACAGAGCTTCCCTGCTTCCCTTGGATCTCCTTGCTAGGTGAGGTGCTCCAGTCCCTTGCCATCCCAGAGCGCAGCCTGACTCACAGCCTTGCTTCTGGCAGTCTAACAGCCCTGACATGCTTTCAGCTGTTTGTATGCTCCCTCATTTTTTCCTAAAGCTCTACCGATTGCTATGCTTAGGGAGGGTTAAACTATGGCCTCCAGGGACACTGGGTGAAAATCTCTTCTGGCGTAAACTCCCGCAGTTTTGCTGACTTCAGTGGAGCTGTGCTAATTTACATTATCGGGGGATTTGGCCTAGTTATGCTAAAATTCAGACAGCCAGGGGTTGTTTCCACAGAGCGATCTGGAGATGAAATGAGGTTGCAAACCAGAGATCAGATAAACAGGGCAGGGGATACTTGTGTTCCCCTAGGATTCCTTCCAGGCGTAAGTGAATCCAAGTGGTCTGGCAGCAGCAAGACCTGATCCACATATGTATAATATTTCTTCCACCAAGAAGTCTTCAGTTAGCCAAGCCATGATACCTGCTTTTCACAGGCCACTCTCCGCTAATGATAATAACCAAATGAGAACCCAGACTAATGGTATGGGAAATCCAGCATCTCTGCTCCTTTATTTCATTTAGATAAAGAAGTTACCATCTCTGCATTATTAGATACAAATCTCCTGCCTATAAAAATATTCATTTGGGATCAACTATTTACAAGAAGTAACTCAAAGGTTAAAGCAACACGAGGGGACCCAGTTTCCCTAACGTTCAGGTCATGGTGTGAGCAAAGAACCATCCAACATTGTGAAGTTGATGGGGAAGTGGTTCTTTTAGACAAAATGGAGGTCCGTGGGTGGGGGAAATCTCTGCAAAACTGATAAGGTGTTTACAGCATTTCAATTTGAAAATGACTTTTCCCAGCCCTGCATCTGATGCAGCCGTGACTCAGATGTGGAAGCATTATTAGTGAATGCAAACTATGATTAGTCTCAGCTCACATATGGATTTAACCTTCTTTGATGGCCCAGTGCAGGTAGCATGAGGCTTGGAGTTAGGGCCTGGATTCTTGTCCTGACTTTGGCATTGCCACAGGTAGTTGCTTTGCTCCTCTGTGCCTTGATTTCACAAATGAGGATGGTGTTATGTGGGCAGGTGTCAAGGTGACCTCCCAAGACTAACCATTTGCTCACATGCCCAAAAAAAGAATCTGGAAGACAACATGCAGCAGTGGCCCCTGGTGACAGCTGCCATAACAACATTTATCAAAAGTGGCACCTGGTGACAGCTGCCATAACAACATTTATCTCTGCAAACGCCTTTGAGATCGACAGGTGGAAAGCTCCATGTATGTGCAGGGTCTTATTGCTAGGAGAGTTGGAGTCTCTCCCGGCAGGGAAGAAGCGGTACCTCCCTGGCACCCCCGTCCGTGTTTGGACCCTGTAGGCCGAGGTGTTGTTATGGGGTCAGGACACAACAGAGAAGCATCCGTGAAAGACACTCATTCTCTTCATTTGTCACAGTTGCCCCTCCTTTGCTCTCCATACACTAAGTGTGTGGGAGGAAATTTCCACTGGCAGTTCTCTCTGCTGTACAGTGTGCTCATCACATCCTGCAGCTCTGCAGCCTTTCTCTTAGCTCCAGGGAAACAAAGCTAAGAAAGCACATTTATAGTGAAGAGAAATTCCAGGATGCCCCTGTGCTTGCAAAGCAGAGATCCTGTTAAACCTTCCCACGTGGCCAGGGCTGACTACTGTCCAAATGAAGAGCTTAAAGCACCTGTTCCATTTAATGAAAGGCAAGTGGGACCCAGTTAATCTTCTCCCCAACTGGCTTAGAGCAAAATTTGTCACTGTGAAGAGGGGTGACTGTGTGTGTTAGGATAGGATCCTTAAGACTAATGCTGCTGAGATCTCTGCTGGACGGTGCAGAATGGTGCAGCAGGCTCGGGATCTCTGATTGCTGCAGATTCCAGAGGCCTGGCTCATTTGTGATGGCTAATGCTTTTTCCTGGTAGGGGTGATCGCCCTGTTTTGCAGGCAGTACGACATCATCAAAGATAATGAACCCAATAACAACAAGGAGAAAGCCAAGAGCACATCTGAGAACAGCACTCCTGAGCACCAGAGCGGAGGGCTCCTGCGCAGCAAGGTAAGAGGAGGGGGTGAGGCAGTCAGTCTGTTCCCTGCTGGGCTTCTGCTGAATTCACATGAAAAACCAGCCTTCTGGCAAGGGTCCAGACTACAGTACTCTCTCTGGTGGGCCCAGACAAGTCCACCAGGCACCTAAATGCAATCAGGAGAGACAGCGTAGGTTAATGGTTTGAGAACCCATCTCCAATTCAGGACACGCATGTTCCATCTCCAACTCTGAGACTCACTCCATGGCCTTAGTTAAGTAATTTCAGCTCTGTGCCTCAGTTTCCCCATCAATAAAATGGGGGATAATATCAGTCCACATTTGTAAAGTAACTTGAGAGCTCTGTTACCTGAAAGCGGTGAGCCAAGGCCACTATGTTTGGACCCCACAGCCATGATGATGTCTGTCAGTGGCAGATGGGATGTTATTTCTGTTCTCACATAAACAGCAAGCAGCACGTGCAAGACAAGGAGCCACTGTAGTACTTACTGGCAGAACCACAGGGTTAAAGTACATTGTGGCAAACTGGATCTGTACTGATGCCAGAGTTGGGCATATGCTTTGCAGCAAATCATTTTCTCAATCTCTCCTTTCTCTTCTCCTGCTCATAGACTGTTCCCTAGCACAGCCTTATTGCCTTGCATTTATTCTTTATTTCACATGATTCACTGACGAATTCCTGCCCTGCAGTTCATTTAGGAGCGGTTTGTCCCAAGGGTTCAGTATTCAAGCTCTGTTAGTTGGTTCTGATTTGACAGGCCGGTCGCGTGGTGCATTCCCTGCTCCCTGACTGGATGAACTAACTTTCAGAAGCAGGTTGTCATCTGAATTCAGCTGATGGTTAAAGAATTCAAAATTCATTTTCCAAAAATGTTCAACAAGAACCACTTTTTCCACACATTTCTGCCAATAAACCTCACTTGCTGGGATGGTGCTGGGAAGTGGTACAGAATTTACTTATCGGCAGCTGGTGAGAAGTGGAATATGAAACGGATTTGAACACAGCAGGGACTGTCTTTCAGTTTGGTGTTTGCACAGTGCTGAGCACATGGGGCTCGGTTCAAGGGGAACTCCTGGGCGCTGCCTCAGTGCAAATCATACATCAGAGAATTCCAGGTTGGCTTTTTTTAGTATCCACCTAACTCTTCACATAACTGATTCCCCGCCAAATGTATTCATAGCAGAAGAGTTCTGCTCTCTATTGACACTGTTGTTGAAAATGAGACTTACACATTTGAAGAAGTCTGGGCTCCTTTTTTTTTTTTTGATTCTTTGAGTCAGGCTACAAAGTCCATCACCAGAGCCAATTAAGGATCTTACAGGTGGAGGGTAGAGCAAAACTCAGACTGAGCTCAGATCAGCAAGCAAAAGATTATGGATCAATGCAGAGATCGGTGGGGTTCTGTGTGCACAGAGGTGTTACACCAAGTGATCTGTAGAATCAGGGCTAAACCAATTAATAGCCGGGATCTCTGCCAGTAGCCAGGACGAACATGCCACTTCCTTCCCAGATTCAAATGTTTTCCTTCTGCTTTAATTTGCTTAGTCCAGGGAGTCTGGGATGATTGATGGTAATGCCAGTTGTTTGGAAGGAGAGCGTTAGCTCTGCATTTGATTCCAAAGATAAAGAAAAGGACTGGAGATGCATCCAAACTGCCAAACGTTTTCTGTTCCCTTGGCTCTGTGAATTTTGATGACACTTCTTTACTCCCTTGCTCTGGCAGGCTGCCCTTGGTGGTGATGAGCTCTTATGGTTTAGGAAAAGCTGCTCAATATTTTGTTAACTCTGCAGTTGTTGGTATCTTATGTCATGGTTCCTTTGTCCCCAACCTAATCCCCATCTGATGCACAGACAGTTTAAGGCAGTGACAGCACCAGCTCTGGATCTTAGGATACTTCTCTTCCCTCCCCCCAGCCCCGCTCCCTCCACCTTCCCCAAGCCCTTTGGAGCAAACATTTAACCCAGCAGCACTGAGCAGGCAGTAGAGCCAGCTGTCCTGTCATTTCCTCCACGACCACTGGAATCTGCCCCTTGGAGATGCTGTGCAATGTTGGCATTTCAGACCTGATGCTTCCAGCAATCAATCAACAACCCTCTCACCTCTGACGTTTTAATTAGTAGGGCCCGATCTGTCATTGCCCCGCCCTCGGTGTAGTCATTCCCCTTCAGTGAGAGGTGGGTGTGAAGTGCTACGGCATGGAGACTTCAGGATGACAGCATTTTTGCTCTGATGTGAAACACTGCACCAAATGCAGGATAATGATGATGAGTTGGGTTTCTAGAGCACAGGGTCAAACACTCAGCCTGTTTCTCTGACCAGGAGTTATTGACTCCGGCCCCACAGCTGACCCCTACCTTGCAGGAGACAGGAGCTTTAACCAAAATGAGATTCATCAATGCACTGCACACATCTTTGATGGTTCTCCCCAGCCATCCCCAGACTTTTATCTTTCTTTTCCCCCTTTTTCTAGTTTCCAAAAAATAAGCCCTCCGTGAATATCATTGAAGCGTGACAGCCTGCCATCAGCAGAGGGACTCCATTTCCCACTCTCCCTCTCTGCCTCTGAGCCCTGAGGACATGGAAGGTGAAGTATTGTTGGAGTGGTCTGGAAAGAGGCCTGTTGGATGCCAACGTCTGGCATAAAACTCCTTTTCCTCGGTCTGCAAGGACATCCGGAGAGAAAGGACAAACTTGCAAAAAACAAAATCTTCACTGTCTCGGGGGAGAAAAGCTTCTGTGAAACTGATGCCTCCGGTGATCCTACCCAGGACTAACAGCTCACCCAGGCTGTGACAGATCTCCAGTTGCATCCTCCACCCTCCCTCTCCATCTCCCAGAGCAAATCTCCTCTCTTCGGAAACGTACAGGGGTTCATCCCACTTTTGTTCTGTTTTGCTGTCGCCACGTTTCAACAGTGCTGACATGGGCTCAGGCATCACTCGCCACATCTCCGCTTCGGAGTGACAAGGGGAGATGATTTCTCTCTAGATACAAGCAGCAGCGAGGACCTGGGCTGCTGTGAGCTCTGCTCTCGCTCCCTCCCATTCACGTTTGTTGTGTAACCAGTTTTGCAGGTGGGTTTTTAAGGAAAAAAGCAAAATCACAAAAAAAAGGCACCCGACAGTTTCCACCTGGATGATCGGGACTGCTCTCTACTAAGGAAAGAGCTCTTGTCTCCGCTCCTGCTGTCTCTCTTACCCCTCGCACATTGTTACTGGCCTGGGAAAATCAGGGTGGAATCCCAAACGGTGCAGCCCAGCCCAGCCCAGCCCAGCCCAGCAGTGACGAGGGACCGGAAGCTGTTGTCTTGCTCCCAGGATAACTTGAATCCTTTCTCCATGGTGTTTTACAGCTGGGTCTGACTGAATCCACCAACAGCAGGAAAAACGGTCCATTAAAAATGTAGCCAGTTAGCAAAAAAGAAAAAAAGTCATGATAATAATGGTTGCTATGCAAGGTTCCCAGTGGTGACAGGTATCTCATTCATGCTGAAGGGTCTCTGCCTTACAGTGGCTGAGCACCTGATTCTTTAACAAGCTGCTTCTTCATTGGGTCCAGCGCATAGGTCTGGTTCTCCCTCCGTCTCGTCTCCAGGATTCATGGAGACCTTGTATTGCCAGGTATCGGTTAGAGCTACTTCATAGCTTGAGGAAAGCGATAAGAGGAAGGAGGGAGTCTCCTGTCCTTTAATAACCGCTTAACGTTTGCAATGTGACAGGTTCCCTCCAAGTGATGGTGCTTTGGGGGCTGCTGGGTGCAAGGCTGCCAAACGGAAGAGGTTTACTATCTGGGTTTTGCCATCGGGCTTCTGTACTTATTCAGTCACCCCCCAAGGCTGTTCCATACGTGCAGGAGGACGAGAGGGGCTTGTCACTGCCCTGTCAAAGCATGACTTAAATCTCCCGGTCGCAAGCCAACCTGCAGTCAGGTTCAAAAGCTGCTGCAGAGAAACCAGCAGGCAGCTGCTGAGTTTGGACCCCTTCACCTGCCATAGCCATCAGCCTCTCCGAGGCGGTCGATCTGCACAGGTGGTGTGGGGAAGTTTGCACGCAGAAGCTTTTCACAGACAAGCCTATTTCAGAAGGTAGAGGAGCCCCACACAATCCTGTACACTTGATCCTCTGCAGAAAGACACTCCTCCCACCACCTAAACAGTGAGGTCAAGGCCTCTGACACAGCTAGAGCAATAACCACTTTTAATGTACAGTAATAGATTAAAGGCACATGTCATTTCCTTGTAAATACCTGAATATAGCAATGTTTCCTTTTGGTCTGCTGTGGCAAAGTGTATGAAGCGAAAGACAGGGACTTTCTATCTAGATTCCTGGGATTAAGAAGATGGCTAATTTCTCCCTGTCTGGTTTTTAGGGAGCAGTGAAAGTTCAGTAAATGGGGGGTGAAGGGAAGGAAAAAGCTGCAAAACAAGTAGAGCGACAGCTTTGCTTAGGCAGTAGCTTCCTCCAGAAATGTCTCAGTTATCTTATAATAAATGGCAGTCAACATCTATAGCTTGCCTATAAAGGGAGATTTGGGACATATGGTACAGCATGTGCAAAATGATGAAGGAGATGCTCTATCGTAACCTGCGAGCAGCCTGCCAAATGAGCAGACCCTACTCTCCAAGCTGCCTACCGGCATGGAAATTCAGCCTGGGGGGGGTGTTGGCAGGTTCGGGGTTGTTTTAAAGAGATGTTTCAGAAAATTCAGATAACATCCCTGATTTTTTGACAGTAATCATTGTTGTCTCCTGGTGACGGGTTCTGGCTATTTCTATTCCAGCAGCAACCCGCTCACTCACCTTTTGTTAGGCAGAACTAACAGGAGGCAGAGCTGCTTGTTCAGAGTTAAGTATTCGCACGGTGATGTGGCAGGTGGTAAAAGGGTGCATCATTATGTTCCATAACTGCAGGCTTTAAAGGTAAGGAATAATGCTATTAGCGAGAAAAACAAATGCTGGCTGGAAGCAACTTGACTCATAGCAGAGAGGATTTCCAAGCTTTCACAAGCAGTCGACTCTCTTCAGGGATGTTTTTAGGAACTGTACATGAAGGGATGTAATAGGAATATACTTTAGGTAAAGAGGGGAGAGAGAGACAGAGACTTAGGGTAACATTTTCAGATGGGCCTAAGGCTTTGATCCTCAAAGGTATTTAATTGCCTAAATCCATGAGAATTAAGTCTCTAAGTAGCTTTAAGGGTCTAGGCCTAAGTGACTTAGGATTGTAACTCTTCTCTTCTTTCAGTGAGTGTGTGGGTCCTCAGTCACATAGGTGCTTTTCATTAAGGAAAGAGACACTGCTTTCCAAGAAACAAATCGACAAGTGCTGAAAACCGGGTATGACCCAGGACAGAGATGGTCTTCAAGGATGCCCATGTTTTGCTTGACCGCTGATTCTCGGCTATGTGCTGGAGGCCATCACGCTTGGTGAGTGCAAGTTTTACTGAAAAGTGAGAAGCGAGTGGGAGTGCGCTGGTTCGAAAGCATTTCCAGAGAGCCTCAATGAGAACTGATTTTCCACTCAAGGCAAGATCAAAGCACAGCAAACATCCAAGCAGCTCTGCTGATGGCGTGCAGTCACTGACGACTAATTCAGCTGATTTCCAGGAACCAATTAAGCAGAGGCTAGGTGCACAATAAGGAGTAAGAGAGAGAAAACAGGATCCCTGCGCTGGTGTACGTTTAAAGTTAAGCACCACTTGCCTTTATTCATTAAAGCACAATAATCTTGCACCTGTATGCACCAATTTAGCACCAATTTAGTCAATATATTCCTCCCCCACATGCTCTAGTTCAGAGAAACTGAGCCACAGGAGGCGATGTGGAGCAAACAATCCAACTCAGCATGCCCCTCCAATTCAATACACTAATTGCTGTAGCTTTCCTACTCACTTCCCTCTGTACCCTAAGAAATAGCACAAACTCCGTTCCCCTGCTTCTTTGAGAGAAATGAGAACATCAAGTATTTCATCCACTGACAGTTCAATAGCACTGGAGGAGAAAACACCTACACGCTCGAAAGTGTTAGTATAATCTCAGCTGGTAATGGCTTTCTGGAGGAGATGTAAATGGAGAGAAACAGAATGTTAATGCTAGTATTTGCCTAAGACATTAAAGGTTATGCCACTCTAAAGTGTGCATCATAGCCGCACATCCATTTCCAAGATATCAAATATGGCCCTTCATTGATTGAATAGTCAGACATGAGATCCTAACAAGGAAGGAATGAAGATTACCCCATATGTTCAACCAAATGTAATTTCCCAACATTTGCAATAAATCTTACTCTCTCAGTATAATGAGCTATTATTGATTTGCCAATATATAGATCACTGACGGGCAGGCAAACTAACCAAATTTGGTAGATTTCCTAGCGCTTGTTAATGAACTGTTCCGATCAGCAAAGGGACTGTGAAAAAACCGTTTCCTCTACAGATCTGCTCTTGGTTTGTGTTCAGTTATATCTGCCAACCTTATAGATTAATGGAAGCATGTTCCTATTCTTCTTGGGCCTTTTAACCCACACATCTATGGGAGAGCAAGCTGGTGTCTATTCCAGCTTGTGCATCATCATTAATTTTGTTTAACTAAGTTCTAAACGCAGAACTCTTATAATCAGCGACAGAGCCAGGAAAGCCACAGCTTGAATTTCAGATCCCAGATGGAGTCGGCAGAGCTGGCAGCTAGGAGAACCATCTTTTTCCTTGTGAACTGAACACATTTGATGTGGAGCGGTTGAGAGGCAATAATGAGGGAGCCCCACGATGCCATTTTACAATTCTCGACACAAGGAGAAACTCACTTGGCACCACCCATGGCTAAAACGTAACCTATTTATACCGAAGGTGCCCTTTCCTCAGAGGGTGCAGTTGATAGAATAGTTTATGTGCCCCTAAACCAGGGCAGACTAGTCACTGCCAGCAAGGATTACAACGCAATGCTCTTATTACGTCTTAAATTGGAAAAATAGTTCATCCAAGGGCCTGTGTCTTTCTTCATGTGTGTACGGGGCCTTGCAAACTGGACTCCTCCAATCCACACCGAGTCTGCTGGGTTCCGCCATACAAGATGTAAATAGTAATATGGCCCCTAGCTCCATCCCAGTAGTGAACACATCACTTGTCCTGCCATTAAGCATCTCTCTCTCTCTTTCCCCCTCTGCCCTTGCAGTGCCTCTGTAGTTCAGTGCGTATTAATCACTATTATAATGTCAAAGAATAAAATCTTTTGCGATAAGGGTGTCCAAGAATCCTTTCGAATCTTGACAAAAGGCAAAGCTGCCCCACAGAAGCTCTGGTTCGCGGTACAGATGCACAACCATCACAAAGCACAGATACCGAAGGAAGTCCTCTCTTCTCCAGCACAAGGGAGCCAGTCCTAGATGTAGCACATATTGTCTGGACACCACCACCCTGACGAGAGAAAGACTTTGTAGTGTGCTGCTTTTTCACTTTCTCAGCATGGCTAGCTGGCATTAGAATGCCTGCTTTAGAAAAAGGCTAATATAAATACTGTTCTGACTGCTGTGTATAGTTTAATAGCTGCTGCATCAGCGATGTATAAAAACCAAGAGGGCTATAGCATGAAAATCTTTTTATGCACAAATACTGCACCTGAGCATCCAGTGTCTACAGGAACAGCTTGTTTGTGCCCTTCCACCTCTCTACCCCTGCTCTGTCATGCCACAACTGAATGCCAGTGATCATCAATCAGTGGCTGAGACAGGGCTGCAGTGTCTTGGCAGTGCCTTGCCAAACTCAGCCTGACTGCAGCAGCAGCAGCCAACCCAAATAGTCCATCTTGGTCTTTCAGGAAAGAGCAGTGTAGTGTTGGCTTCAGATCCAATAGGACCTCTAACAGAGAGGCTACTGCCCACATCTCCAAGGTACGTGGGCTCTGCGATCAGACTCAAACTACTATGGACCCTACTTTCCAAACTGCCTAAAGCAAAGTTAATTGAAGAGAACCCCTGACCCATCTTTATTACAAGTAAAAGGAGCAGATAAGATTTCCAGACATGGCAACAAACTCCACAGCGCAGGGATCTGCCCAACAGGACCACCCCCAAATAATCCTGCTTCCAGAGATGCACGGCCTATACCTGGAACTCACTGGTTTATAGGATGATAGCACCATTTGTATGGT